GATCCTGAGGTGCATGGAATGCTGAAAGATCCCTTTTACAAACTAAACTAAATATTAAGAAACAGGAAAGTTTCTTTGGAAACAAATATAAGATTTCTTAGTTGTTATGTTCTACCCTCCTAGATGGCAGCGAATGATGGAACGTTTTCTGACAGATGTAGAGGAAACTGAGGGTAACAGAGATGTGATTCTACAGAAGGATGATGAGAATACACTGGACGGGATATGTGAGCAACTAGGAAATCTTACGAAAAATGTGAACGAAATAGAAAAACAGGCAACACTTGAAGAATGCATAACAAGGAGATAGGTCTTGACGAATGAGACATTCACATGACATACTGAAGGAAATAAGGGTTGGAAGAGAAACATCGAATATTCTTTTATTCAAAGCCAAAACGCCTGAAAATGAAAAATAGGACACCGAAATCCGAACGGGCATTGTAATAGCAAAGGCTAACGAATAAGAAACAGGAAATTTTCGTTAGAAACAAAGAAACGAGAGCTAAACTTTTATGCAGCATCCATCTTCTTCTGAACAATCTCCCCACATATGAGGAGAAAAATGGCGGCAAATGGATTCTGAAATGTAATGGACGGAGAAATTAAGCAACGAAGAAGGATGAAAAATGACACTTGCCATCAGAACCAGAAAGAGTCAGCTGAAATTTAGACGCATAATGAGGAAGAGGTCTTGGAGAATTTTACACTCACAAGATATGTCGGAGGTAAAAGAGACAGGAGAAGCAAGGATCCGCCTACTTGACCATCTTGTGCAAATGGATATCGGAACGTGGAGGATGGGAGTCATGGCAAACGGACATATTTTCTTCCTTGAAGGTTCACATCACATCGAAGAATAAGTAGATTCATAGTTGTTCGTTAAATGTGTGCATGAAATGATAGAGTTATTTATGTATTAACGGAAAAATAGGGCCTAGTTGATTTCGAAATAAACATGAACTGTTGGTTCAGTATTTACTAAATCGAACTCTGTACAGTATAAAAGTGGTTCACCAAGTAAGAATTCGCAGAAAAATAATGGCGTGCCAGACTAATTTATTGATTATTAACCGTAGAGAGGCGCCGTAAAATGTTTCCTCTATTATCAGACATTTTGAAAACCATCTTCACTAATCAATTTTCTTTATACTTTTTTGTGCTAGTGAGACGGACATGTACTGGGAAGAGAATGAAAGTCAAACAATTATGTCCTGACCCCCAAAAGAAGAGGTATTGAGCTAAATTTGATGGGAAAGTTAGCTCAGGAGAAGGTGTTGTAATGAAGTGTCCCACACTCCCTATCGTCTATGGGGACTGACTATATCACTAACTATATATAGTGAGCACAGGATATACCTGGGGGCTTGCTTCGAGAATTATTTGGAGATTCGTCTCCAGCTAAGCTAGTTGAACGTTCTACTTTTGTGCAGAAAGAAACCCAGATGAGGCTATGCCAAAGGGCAGAGTCTCGTCTGGGGAGGTAGACAGCTACCCGACTCCGTTTTTATGGGGTCTACGGGGAATGTTTGCCGTGAAAATCTTTTGTTGGATGTAGGCCTTCGCTAGATCTCACCAAATTTACAGATTATGTAAATGTTATCATTTTGACCCTGCATTAAAAAACGGCCTTATGCCACATCTTTCCTCGCGGGGATGTAATGTAAATAACCTTGCTTCGAGAATTACTAGCCTGCCACCCGATTCTCTGTCTTTCAGTAGAGCATTTTCTTTTAAAATAAACCTCTTTTTTTTCATATACGCGCTTATTGTTGTTCCTTCATTCGAGAACCACCTATGTCTTTTTATAGCCTCTTTAAGGATACAACACTTGTTTTAATTTTGAAGTCATGAACTCAGCACATAATAAGCAGGGAAATCGACCTTCTGAGAAATTATGCAGCAACATAAATCATGAAGAAGATTTAAAAAAAAAATTCCTAGGGAATTTGCAATTCATAAAAAAAAATATTTTTGAATTTACAGTGGCTATACAAAGCATACAGTCATGAGATATGAAATCCAGATATGAGTGAAGCAGTCAGTCACTTAAGTGTTATACATGATACACGCATGGGCGATCATGCATCTTTCGATATATGATTGACGAGGCAGAAGTTTTTTTTTCTGGCAATAGGTTGCCATTTCTTTCTGCGGTATACTGGTTGATAACCAAGGCTAAAGAACTATTTAACCCATAGCTGGGAGGAGAAGAGATGAATTTATACATTTCCCAAGGGTATTTGTGCGTAAGTAAATATAATGAACTCAATTGAAATTCGAACTCGGTTCTTTCAGAAAATTCCGTTTATAGCCAATATTGAATATTGAAAATGGTATTTGTGTGTAAGTATAATATAATATAATTATATACAATTATTATATATATATATATATATATATATATATATATATATACAATATATATATATATATATATATATATATATATATATATATATTTAACAAACTCATTTGGGATTCGAACGCGGCTCTGAGAGATCTCATTCCGAGCCGATATTCATTACATGAGTGGATACATTGCGAAATAAGTCACTGCGAAAATATTTGTAGTAATATTTCTATATTTGATGGAGTGCCAAAAATTCAGTTTTGGCCAGAATAAATTCCATGGTGCACGAGATGTGATCAAAAATGTCTCGGAATTGTTCCTATGGTAACGGAAGTAAAGCGCGCAGAGTGAAGCCGCTTAGCACAGATTGACTTTGAACTCTGTCCCGCATACAGAATAAGTTATAACATCCTTGCTCACGTTGTTTGTTTATCGCATTGCTTGGAATAAAGACGTGTGATCGTCTCACTGCACGACAGAGATTCCATCAGTGACCATGGCTTGTGCAGCAGTTTTGGCCAAGAACAACATTTTTCAGGTCCGACAACAATCACATTCTCCTGATTTCGACCCTTGCGACTTTTTCCCTTTTTTCCAAAAATCAGATTCCGCATAAAATGAACATGATCTCAAAACGTTGAGAAAATCCAAAAGAATGCGACATGACAGCTGTTCGCTATCCCCCAAGGGTGTTACAGGAATGCTACCATCAATGGACACGTCGCTGGGTGATGTATGTGGCTTCAGAAGGGGACTACTTCGAAGGAGACTGAATCATAGGTGTTTGAGTTGTCTTTTTATAGCACCAATCCCGATACTTTTTGATCAACTCGTATTCTCAACCATTCTTGAGAGCGTTTTCTCTGAGCCTGCTTAGTCTCACGCTGTCCACTGACGTGGGTGGGGGGTGGAATTAATACAATGAATCAATAGTTTCATCTACCGCAAGGAAAGTTGTCTACCTCTCTGTCGTGCCAGAAAATTTTTTCTCGTCTGAGTCCATCCTTCAAATGTATAAATCAACCATCCGTCCTTGCATGGAATATTGCTGTCATATATGGCCTGGTGCTCCCGCTGTAAGTCTCAAGGTCCTTGACAAAATCCAGAGACGAATATGCAAGATGATAGGTCCTATCCTACAGACGTGCTGTAGCCTCCCTCTGTGTCTTCTACAAATATTTTCACGGCAACTGTTCCGATGAGCTACTTTCGCTGGTTCCCGGACTGCATGAATTTAACCGTGCTACCAGGCTGGCATCTCGGTCCCACCCTTTCACTGCCAAAACAGTTAAATATAACCGTCTCAAACAGCTTCTTCTCCCGCACTTCTCGTCTGTGGAACTCCCTTCTCGGATGACTATAATCTTCAAATATTCAAGTGTAATGTCAATCGACATCTGGCACCCTGAGCTTGTTCGTCGTCCTTCTCTGTATCCTTTCCTTAAACACGCCTCTTTACTCTTGTTCTCAATCCTCCTTAACCCATTGCGTGCTAGTGGCACTCCCTCTTTGCTTGAGGTGTATTGCTTTTAAAAAGAAAAAAAAATTCTAGTTTTGGTATACCATGGTTTCCAAAATTTGTATTATGGTAATTATATTTTGAATTAAGGTGCCTGTAAATTTGATTAAAGTCGTCATACTTGTTTCGAATTAAAGCGTATATATTTATTGTAATCGATATTATACAGATTCAAAAGGCAAGCTTGTACAACGATGGCATTTTAAATATACAGACCCTGCTTACTTTCAAAATTGACCTTTGAACTCCTGGCTTTCATCTGGGCTCAGACATTGGGTAATCAGCACTAGCGGGAATAAGCGTCTATCTCATCTAGCAAATAAATCATGGCGATATAATGTTTAGTTTCATTTAATTCAGTATATGTCAAATTGGATGGAAATATGAAGATAGTCATGTGGCAGTCATAGTGAAAAAAGCGGCCTTTTAATGACAGATTGATTCTTTACACTATTTACATTGTTCGGACTGTTGTCGTCATCTTTGTTGCCATATTCACGACGTTTCGGCCGTTGTCCATTCCGGCCTTCTTCAGGTGATTGGAATTTCGTACTGAACCCTTTATTTCGTCGGTTGAATCCAGTGAATTGACCCAAAGCGTTGTGAGTTCAATTGCTGAGGTGACTAAAGGGCTATAACCAAAAGTGAGATATCCGGAAGAGGCATGACACGTGGAATTAGAACAATCTACCACGAGTGACGAAATACAGGGTTCAATTCGAAATTCCAATCCCCTGAAGAAGGTCGGAGCGTACAACGACCGGATCGTCGTGAATATGGCAACGAAGAAGAGGACAACAATCCGAACAATATAAATAGTGCAGATAATTGCAATACCTCATGTCAGAAATTTAGACAGATATTGACAGATTGATTCATTCACTTATTTTTTTACGGATTATCAACCTTTTGTTGGTTATTTTAAATTAGAAAATATTGTTAGATTTTAAGATTTTTTTTTCGAGATGATTATGCTTTACTGGGAAAATACCTACTAATTAACCTATAGCTGGGGGTGGAGGAGAAGTAAATTCCTACCTTTTCTCAAGAGTATTTGCGCGTAAGTGAATATAACTAACTTGGTTGAAATTTTGATCCGTAATCCATCACACCACTAGCACATCCAAGCTTACAGCACCTGGTATTCTCAAGCCGTCATATCTATGTACTGACCAGGCTCGACGTTGCTTAACTTTGGTGATCATACGAGAACCGGTATTTCAACGTGATACGGCCGTAAGTGTAGACGTTATCTAAGAACAAACTCTAACCACTGACAATAGTACGAAATACGTAACGATTTCTGTCATGTGACAGATCAATAATTGTTATACTGAAACATTACCTATTTTATTGTAATAGACTCTCCCACACATAATAAGTAGTAGTAGTAGTAGTAGTAGTAGTGGTTGCCAGTTGAGCTCAGTGGTATTGAGTGAGTCAGTCGATGTCGGACATTGAAGTATCAGCCACCACAACTAGATTGCTGCGTCATTAACTATTATATCGAACCTTTTTTAGGACCGACTTAGTGAAATACAAGCCTCCACTGTGAAAACTACTCTACAACAATAATACATTGTCCGCTGCATGTACGTGGCATCTCGCCTGGGAACGCATGCACATTTGTACATTTGTACGTAGGTAAAGTGCAAAAATTGCCTCGTTCCATCGACATATTGGGCATATTCTGTTAGTACTAACCGAAATACAAATTTCCAGAAAGAATTCTAATTTGACTTCTACTCAATAATGACGAAGGATTAGTCAGAAATGTCCAGCGAGGACATTTTTTAACAGCTGACTCGCGGAAAAAATGTTTTAACATATCTCCCAGATAAATGTTATATTGGGGCATTTAAGAATGTAGTACTATTTATCAAGTCCAGTTTAATATAGTACAATGGAAACTCTGAATAAAACAATCTTTTTAACTCAATCTGCCAAGTAGGAGAATTTGGCAGACGAAGGCCAGCTACGACTTGCACTCAACTGAGATCCTTGGGGAGGATAAAGATGAGAGCTTCATTCTGAGAGACAGACTTTCCTTCCCGAAGAAGTGAATGTCGACTTCGGTTGTAATATTGGATTTAGGTTATTCCTCTCGGCTTAGATCGTTACCGTATTTTTCGGGATATAAAATGTACGGGTGTATATGACACAACCGTATGGTGAATTAAAATGTTTGGACAAATGTTACATTAGTATTTTTATTGAACAGCTAGCGAACTTGATATTTAAATATTAATATATATTGTTCTAAAACACAAAAAAACACTCAAAATATTGTCGTGATTATATGTGGAAAAAATGTAAACATTGGTCTCTTTAATAGTCGAGGAAAAGAGTTTAATTTGAATCCATAAGGTAAACATTGATCGTATTTATATTTGTGTCAAAAGATAAACGCTGGTCGACTTAATACTTGAGTCACAAGTAAAACTAGTCAAGTTTATACTTGAGTCAAAAGATAAACTTTGGTTGGATTCATGCTTGAGCCAAAAGGTAAGCATTATTTTGGTTTATATTTTTGTCATAAAGTAAACATTGTTTCGATTTATACAGAACCAATATTTACCTTTTGATACAAAAGGTAAATATTGGTTCAGCTTTTACTGGATACAGAAACCGTTGGTGGTTTTAAACCTAAGCAAAAAGCTAAATTATTGGTCGATTTCGTACTTCTAGAAGAATCGATCTGGAAGGTGGACAATTTGGGATTATTTTTATTTCTGTCTGTAGAAAACAGCCGGTATATTCTCAGCTTCGCCGACAAGGCTAGTAAGATAGATTGAAATGAACATTATAAAAACAGACTTAGATAGATAGATAGATAGATAATGAAAAAGATGAGATAGATAGATGTATAGATAGATAGATATATAGATAGATAATGAGCAAAATGAGATAGATAATAAACTGAATTAGGTAATGAACAGAATGAAATATATGGATAGATAATGAACAAAATGATATAGATAGATAGATAGATAGATAATGTACAGAATGAGATATATGAATGGTGAACAGAATGAGATAGATAGATAATGAACAGAATGAGATAGATATATAGATAGATTGATAAAGAACAGATTGATACACACACATAAACACACACACACACACACACACACACACATATATATATATATATATATATATATATATATAGATAGATAGATAGATAGATAGATAGATAGATAGATAGACAGAATGAGATATATAGATAATAAACAGAACTATATATATATATATATATATATATATAGAGAGAGAGAGAGAGAGAGAAGAGATAGATAGATAGATATAGATATAGATATATAGATAATAAACAGAATTAGATAGATAGATAGATAGATAGATAGATAGATAGATAGATAGATAGATAGATAGATAGGGAAGGAGGGATGGCATATTTCCATAAAGTAACAGTCACTTATAACTCTGGGTACTCCACGTATATTAACTTAAGTCAGATGAATTTCAGCTTAAAATATATCAGAACAAATCAAGAGTTAAATGAACATAAACAGATGAAAAGAGATATATCATTTTTAAAACTACCAAATCTTTTCAGGATGGAGGCAATCAATGCACAACATAAATTACCTTTGTTTGAAATCTGTGAATTGCAATGTCTTCTTGGGAAAATGGGATTTCCGTTGCCTTCATCACGGTCTTTGAATTCATTGCCCAGTCTACCATACAATCCTACCTATAGCTGAAGTTGAGGATTATTGCATAGTGAACACAAGAGACTAGGCTCTCTAATTCCATTTGAACTCGGCTCGCTGCTTCTAATTTCTGCGCCAATAATCGTTAAGCTACCCGAAAATCCCTTATAAATAGATCATTAAAGATGTGCTTTGCTGTGAATAACTACTTTGCCAAGTCCCAGATAGAGTGGCTTAAGAAAAGTTTTTAGCCAGGAGAAATAAAATACATCCAATTTCAAAATTTAATTACGTAATCCCAACTCGGATTTCTCTATTTGTTAATTTCAGTGCTTGTATTCAATTTTTCCTGGATTTGATCAATTTATCAATAATCGTCTGATCCATATATTTGCCACTCCTTTAGCAAGATTTCTTTCAGGGTTGCCTATGATGTGATTTTGGTTGCACGCTCTCGAAGATTTCGGCCAAGGTGTGCCATTGGATTCATGTCAAATCTTAGGGATACCCATGGCAGTGACTCGATTACTAGCCTTTGCTACGTTGCACGTATAAGATGGCGCTCCATATCCTTGTCAAAGGTAGACATTCTTGTCAATCTCATTGGTTTCAAATAGTGGGAGTAGTAGTTTCTCTAATATTTGACAGTATTTTGGACCATTCAACCACTCGTCAAAAAGAATCAGCTCAGATTTCCCTCCAAACCAGACAGCGCCCCGCGCCATTACTCCAATCCCTTCATGCTTCACGGTCGCCCGCAGACATTCAGTGTTCCACGTCTCATTCTGATTTCTACAAACATAAACCTGTTTCGAATTCGAATATTGGCAGAATTTTCTTACATCTGAACAAATTGCAGACCACCAAAATTCGTCATTTTTGCTCTCGAATTCTCTCGCCCAGTTCATACGCCTGTTCCTGTTAACTTCTGAAATCAAGGGTTTTTTCTTGCAATTCTTCTTTGATACCCTAGCGTTTTTAGAGTCTTTCTCACCACCTATGGCGACGATGCTTTCTGATGACTTCTCTCTTCAGTGGACTTTTCTTTAGCTCAGACACAATGCTTGGTCGTCCTGAACGTTTTTCCATACGACAAGGCCTTCTTCATTAAATTTATTGACAATATTAAACGTTTGATGATTAACCTGGAAAAAACTAGCAATTTGTCTATTTGACTTGCCACACTGATGCCATCCTATTTTTTGCCCTCGTTGAAATTCACCAATTTCCTAATTTCCGAGAAATTTCATTGCGAAATATAAGTCAACTATCGTTCATAGATGAGAGCAGCTTGATACTAACATGATATTGTCTGAAAAATAATAGAAGAAACGCTATTACACAAGCCAAAATTGCTGTAATCAAGGGTAGCTAAAAAAACTTATCTTAGCCCACTGTAGATTGCCTGTTTTCTGATAAAGTGAGCGTCGGATAGTTAGAGATAGGGCTACTAAAATGCTAGAGTTGGCTAATATAAAGAGAGCGACTGGCACTGCAGGTGGATAAGAGTGAAAGATATTTACGTCTTAACGCAAGAATGATAGCGGGACAGAGAGACAAAATATAAATATTGATTTGCAGTTATTATTGGTTCCAGTGATCAGTGCTCGAACTCAGATAAAATCTAATGTGTCCAATGTTGATTATCGAAACAAGTATTGTTTTCCTGTTTTCACTATTCAATTCTAATGAGATAATCACTGTGACTCTACGCCGCTTTCAGCGCGATAATGTCACTAACTAATTCTCTTGGGGCTTAAATCATATTCTTCTGTCAATAACAGCTGGCGTTATTATTGGGCTAAGCTAAGTGGAGGCGAGAATGAATAGCTTAAAGAACCTACAGTAACATCACAAATACGTCTCGAATAAAAATTCTTTATTATCAGGCCTATAATATACACATCTAACTATATATATGCGCATGAGTAAATGTATTAGAAATATACTTACTAAGTTTAGTGTAGTGATTTCAAAAACATAACTTGACGGAATAAATTATTAGTAGTATGTTAAAAAAGCACGTCAGTTTTACATGTGGCCGAATGCCAGCCGGGCACGTGATCTGGTCACACGATTTAAGTATATAAAAAGGATATCATTAAGCTGGGAAAATTAGTCAAACCGACCAGCAAGTCAAAGAAAATCAGTTATCAGAGAAAATAAGGTTCCACTCAGATCTTCTTGATCTTCCTTTGTTGAGGTAAAACGGGATCAGATTAATTGCTTGTAATGACAAAAGTACGCTTTAAGAAAGATTTATTCAACGGAGAATACAAAGTTCGCCTACAGTGTCCTTTTATATTCCCAGTAAACAGAAATAGCTCTCTCAAAGAGGAGAGTAACGAAACAAATGGCGATCACTCTTGATTATTCATAACATTGCTCTTGATTTTTTTTTGTTTGACTCAAGAATTAAATTAATTCCTTATTTAACTAATTGTTTTGTCTCTAAATTCATTTTAAATGAAGAGAGAGCTGACGTTATCAACAACGGAACTATGCGTATTTTCGACATTCAAATCCCGTGACTAAGATCACCCTAATTTTATGAACTTGTTTATATTGCATTAAGTTGGTCTGACACAAGCTGAACATAACAGATCACATCTGGAGGATAGATTTTTTTTTACTATGGAGGATAGATATTATATATGTGAACAAACAACCTCTCGTGAATTACTCGACCAGCGGTGGGGGTTATTAAATAGGTGCGTTCTTTCTTTCTTTCTTTCTTTCTTTCTTTCTTTCTTTCTTTCTTTTCTTTTTCTTTTCTTTTTTGGAGGATAGATTTTTTACTATGGAGGATAGATATTTTATATGTGAACAAACAACCTCTCGTGAATTACTCGACCGGTGGTGGGTTGGGGGGGGGGTTATTAAATGGGATTGCGTACTAAAGTGCGTTTTCTTTCTTTCTTTCTTTCTTTCTTTCTTTCTTTCTTTCTTTCTTTCTTTCTTTCTTTCGGCAGTGGGAGATTATTAAATGGGTTTGCAAGAAAAAAAAAATATGCAAGAAAAGGTTTTATGTTGCCTGCAGGGTTTTTGCAGCAAAACCACTCTGCACTTTGCTTTGGGTGTTCACAAAGATAAATCTTCACACAAGAATAATGCAGAAAAATGAATGAAATTAAGTAGATCGATAATGATGCAGTTTATGGTTATTTCGCAATGGAATTTGACAAGATGTTTTTAAAGGGGTCGCATTGATAAGCGTGTGAGGTGACAAGAGGATTACTTTGCAAGTGCAGAGGTACTGTTCCCCTACGTAGGCTGTTTTTATTTTCTTAATATGGACAGCTAGAAAATATACGGCAGATTTGATAAGCACTAAAAAAAAAAAAGAAATTTCGATAATTAATGATTTCGCTACTTTCTCGCACATTTTGAGCACCAAATTCATTATTAAACTCATATTTGACCTCTAGTGAAACTCGTACATACGATCCCTTGCTAAAGATGTTCGTTTACTTGTACGGCTCCAATAAGTACCTGATACCGCCTTCTATCCTCTACCTTTGCAAGAGCCAGATCAGGCCTAAAATGAAGTACTGTTGTCATATCTGGGAAGGAACCGCCCAGTCCTCACTTTCCGGTCTCGATAGATTTGTGGTCTTCTACCCTACAACCTCTAACCCACAGACAGGATGTGGCCAGCCTCTCAGGGCTCTACAGCTTCTTCCATGGAAGTGCTCGGACGGAGTGCATTCCTTGGTTCGGCCAGTTCTAACATTCACGGCTACGAATTCGCCATGCCACTTCCATTGTAGCAAACCATCTCTGTATTTCTTTGGTAACAGGTAAGTCTCACTCGAACACTTTCACCCCGCCAACCACTACTCTGTGGAACCTACGCCCTAAGAAGATGTATCCCCGATCACTACAATCTTAACTGTTCATGTCTAGCGTCAACCAGTATCTTACCTTCTTATCTGCATAAACTGACTCTTACTGTATCCCTCTAGCTCGAGTGACTCAAGGTACCTCGCTGATAAAAAGAAAGAAAAAAGAAAGAAAGAAAGAAATCGCACTTTATCTTCATGTTGTCCTCAATGCAATACAGAATATTAATAATTTCTTTCTGGAGATGCTATTTAAGTTTTGAGGATTTTTCATTCTTGTCTTCGATGTTGAACGTGTTTGATCATATAAATCGTGTTTTATTTTTATTTTTTTGGTGGGTGGGAGGGAGTTTCTGGGCATAATGTTTCGGCCAATCCATTCTCCTTTGTCAGTTATCTTTCTGGTGCCTTCTTTCTGCTCTCTATCAGTCTGTGTGTGTGTGTGTGTGTGTGTGTGTGTGTGTGTGTGTGTGTGTGTGTGTGCTTGAATGCGTGTCTCCAAGTGGAGGTGGGTGGTGATAAGATGTTGCAGCAAGTAAAACAAGAATACAGACGATTATGCATATCTCTAAGGACGTCGCCCCACCCCAAAGGAGATAATTTGTCGATCCCTCATCCTTTAAATATCAGTTCGCTGTTTTTACTTTTACGTAGTGTGCTACCATTCACGCAATATTCAACTCAAATATTCAATCAGATCGTAAGAATCACTTTTTTTTTCGAACAAAGATTTTAGAAGTATCGAAAAGATCAATTCAGTACCATGGAAATTAATTTTACTTCGTCTCCTCGCAACAAACCGCAAAAGAATTAATTTCACAACGGTCATTTGTCGACAGCATCAATGCTGATTACATTTATGACCAGTAAATTTAAAGTTCTTTTAAATATTCAGATGGATGTTACATTAACCTGTCGCCACGCATGTCAAAATATTTTCCGAAATAAATAATATATCAACAAGTCATTACATTTTTTTCTCCTTCTTCATCTACCACTTCTGTTCTTCTTCACCATTATTTTTCTTTTCTTTTTCTTCGTTATCTGGTTCTACCATTATTTTACTTCTTTTACGGCTACAATTCTTCTTTTTCTTCTTCTAGTTCTCTTTTTTTTCATCTTCTATGTTTTAGATTTTTTCTTCTTGTTCAGTCTTCTTTTTAGATTCTTCTTCTTCGTCGTCATCTACTAATAATTTTCTCGGTCTTCTTGCTTTTTCCGTTGTTACTACTACTACTACTACTACTGCTGCTACTGCTACTACTACTACTACTGCCTATGTTTCTTCCCATTGTTCTACTACTACTTATACTGATGTTCTTCTGATATTACTACTACTACTTCCCTTCTACTTCTAATGCTACGTCTTTTCTTCTTATTTTCTTCTTCTTCATCTACTATTACTCTTCTGCTTTTCTTTCTTTTATGATTATTCGTCTACTTTGTCGTCTCTTACTACCATTATTTTACTTCCTTATTATTACTATTCTTCTTTTTTTCCTTCTTTTTCTTCTTCTTTTTTCCTTCTTTTTCTTCTTTTTTTCCTTCTTTTTCTTTTTCTTTTATTCATTCTTTTTCATCTTCTTTTACTTCTTCTTTTTCTCCTCCTCTTTTTCTTCTTGTTCTCCTACTACTACTTCTCCTTCTCCTCCTCCTCCCCCTTCTTCTTCTTTATCAGCTACTACGACACTTCTGCTTCTCTTTCTTCTACGACTACTGTTCTTCTGCTCTTTCTTTTTATTAATCTTTTACTAGTAATGTTCTTCTTCTTCTTCTTCTTCTTCTTCTTCTTCTTCTTCTTCCATGATTTAGGCTTTTCCTCTTTGTTTAATATTCTTTTCAGATTATTCTTCTTTTACCTCGTCATCTGCTAATACCATTATTTTTCTTCTACTGCTAAATTTCTTGTTTTCTTCTTGTTCTTCTTACGTCCTGGGTATGATAATAAACTACATCCGGCAGCAAGGACTCTGATCTCGAGATTGGAGGTTTTGCGGAGCGTGTAACGACTTATTTATTGCCGTTGTTCCCAGGTTCGCCCTGACCCGGGGTGGTAGCACCTGTTAGGGTCTCAGCTATGGTCAAATAGTGAACGCTCAAACAAAAATCAACAGAACATTTTTATAATAAAATGACCAACAATACATTTTTATCGTAAGATAAAAATCAATGTAACACAAAAAATATATTTTCCATATATTTTTTGCCAAGAATACATTTTATGACCTACCAAATACATATCTAAAAAAACATACCTTTTCCCCGAACGTATAAAACCATGTACAACATATCTGTAGGTGAAAGCATAAAAATTATATACAAAACATTTAGTTTTCGGTATTAAATAACCCATAAAGATGTTGATATGCCGCTAAACAAAATAAATCATCAAATCTTGTTCTTCGCCTTTACTATTACTAATACTACTACAATTTTCCCCATTCTACTTCTACTACTAATACTACTACCACTACTTCCCTTCTTCTTATTATTTTTCTTCAACTGCTACTATTACTACTACTTGTCTTCTTCTTCAATTTCTACTATTACTACTAATTTTCATCGTCTTCTACTAATACTACTACTTTTCTTCTTCATCTACTATTACTACTTCTTGTTTTCTTCTTCTTCATCCTATACTATTACTACTACTTTTCTTCTTTTTCTAAATGTACTATTATTTTTACTTGACTTCTTCTTCCTCCTCTACTATTACTACTACTTTTCTTCTTTATCGTCTACTATTACTACTACTTGTCTTCTTTTTCTTCTTCATCTACTATTACTACTACTTGTCTTCTTTTTTCTTCATCTACTATTACTACTACTTGTCTTCTTTTTCTTCTTCATCTACTATTACTACTACTTGTCTTCTTTTTTTTCTTCATCTACTATTACTACTACTTGTCTTCTTTTTCTTCTTCATCTACTATTACTACTACTTGTCTTCTTTTTCTTCTTCATCTACTATTACTACTACTTGTCTTCTTTTTTTTTTCATCTACTATTACTACTACTTGTCTTCTTTTTCTTCTTCATCTACTATTACTACTACTTGTCTTCTTTTTCTTCTTCATCTACTATTACTACTACTTGTCTTCTTTTTCTTCTTCATCTACTATTACTACTACTTGTCTTCTTCCTCATCTGCTATTACTGTTACTTTTCTTCTTCTTCATATTATCTGCTATTAATACTACTTTTTTCTTCTTCTTCTCCATGTTCTACTATTACTACTACTACTTGTCTTCTTCTTCTTCCTCTTCTTCTTCCTTTTCTTCTCTAATATTATTTGCCTCCTGAAGGGCCATTGACTAAAGTCTACTGAAGTTGTCCAAGCCACCGCCTCAGAGAGCAGATTAATTTCCTGCAAATACGGTCACTTTGGACTGTGCGACATCAAGCGGGGTCTGGATTGCTCCTTGACGCTAATTCGTGCACAAGAGTTGGATGATTTTACGAGACCTGCAGGGATGGAGTGCGATAATTATCGAGTAGTAATGAGGAAGATAAAATTCTTCCACGTAAGTTTCTCAGAAAACTGGTGTTCCACTTGAACTGAATATTGGTTGTTTTCAAGTCACAGACACAAGAGACGACGATTTTCTGCCGTTGTCGCCTCGTGTCCGCTTATATTTCGTTGTGATTCTAAGAGGGTTTCAGCCGACTGAATTCATTCTACAACCATTTTCAGAGAGAGAGAGTGAGAGAGAGGTGAGGGTGCTGGTTATTAAAGTCCCGTATGATTAAAAAAAAATCTAAGCATTATTGCCAAAATAATAAGATAAAGATTAATAAATTGCAACCGATGATTAAAATTATTTCCAGCCATATCCAGAAAGGAGAATTAACTGTTATTTCCGGAGTTGAAGATGGCAGTGTCGATAGTCCATTTTGTGGTAGAAGGGAAACCAATGAGAAATGGAACTAAAGGTTCTGATGCAAAATGAAAGCATCTGCGTTGGTTTTGCAACTATGTTATTTTACATAAGTTAATCTGAAATAAACGCACACGCGTACAAACAGGCATGCGCACACACACGCACGTATAAATATATATACATATACGTATTATATAAATATATATATATATATATAGAGAGAGAGAGAGAGAGAGAGAAGAGAGATAAAATATAGTTTTAAGGTAATATATTTAGGGTTAAAGTGCTCAATATCAGGGATAGAGAGTATGTAAATATAAAAGTGGACATTGCAGTCAACATTCAAAGGCGACAGTCTATTTCATGCTAAATGAAATCGTCAGGAGTTGTGTTTTTGCTCGACTTTATACATACATACATACATACATACATATATATATATATATATATATATATATATATATATATATTAAAACTCGTAAATTTCAGAAATAAGTTATTCCCCAAAAAAATTTCGCTTGAAGAAGGAACAGAGCTTACTTTAATTCAATTTAATTCAAATAAAAACATTGAAAACATGAGACCTCTTATGTAGCGTGTTGGAATCATATTTTGGAATAAATATTTTAAATAAATATATATATATATATATATATATATATATATATATATATATATATATAGTCAAACCTAGTGAGCCAGACAAACCTACCCAGGTTTCACCTAGCGGATTATCAGGGAAAGCTGGCTAAATAGGCGAAAGAGAAACGGTATATTTATAGGCGATAATCAAAACTATACCACGTGACCAAAAAAAAAAAAGAATAGAAAAAAGAAAGAAACGACACAACACCGGTGGGGGGATGATTTATTCAAACGACTAAAAGGGGAGATGATATTTTAAGAAAACACGAACAATAAAGGTGGAATGACAATACAAACAGGGGAGATTAGACCTAATTCAATAACCGAGATTTTTTATGCCTACATACGAATCTCGGTTTTAGAGTTTAATAGATCGTTAGGTTCCTTTTATAAAGCTATGGCTAATTTCTCCTCTGTACATAGCTTACAAAATTTTTGGCCTGCTGTATATTTGGGACATTTTTTTAATATTTCTTATTTAAGGATGGAATCTTTATTATTTTCTTTTTCTAATTTTCCATACATAGGTGGATAGACGAGACGAGTATAGTTACCTATATACTATATATATATATATATATATATATATATATATATATATATATATATATATATATATATGAAGAAAAATATACTGAAAAAAACATGAATAACATACATCGTCGTCACGTGATCATATTTAAACGGAACGCTGATCTAACAAAAGATTTCAGTTATCTGTTTGGATTGGTATTGCTTTTATGTCCATCGTCTTTTTCATGTTGAATTGTATATGGTCTATGTTAATTATGTTTTATGAATATGTCCTGAAGATGATCTATTAGACCGAAACGTCCGATGTTGACATTAAACTTTAAAACAGCATAATCACATATTAGGATTTTTTTTTTTTTCAGTATATTTTTTTTTTTTTTTTATATATATATATATATATATATATATATATATATATATATATATATATATATATATATATATATGTTCATACACGTTTCAATAAATAATATAGACAAGTGTTGTCTATTTATTTTATGTAAATTTTTTTCGTAACGTCTGATAAGTTTAAACATTATCGTTGATCGAAGAAAGAAATTCACAATATTGATCCATATTTTTGTAATACAATCTAATATATATATAGGTCAGAGATATTTGTGGGCGTGGTTTGTTACTTACCCCCCCAATGTATTAACTGTAGTTTAATGGGAAAGTAGATATTTTGTATGGTACTGGACGTAAATTTATGATAGAAGACTCAGAGATTTGAGCAATTTCTATACTCTTTCGTTTTAGTAAATTATTCTCTTTTATCTAAAACTAAATTTTTACATCGAAATTATCGTCAGACTCATTACAATGAACAAATAATTCAATGAGCGCAGTGTTTTATGAAATAGTCTTTATGTGTTCATATATTCTTTTTCTTCGAATCCCTAAATATTTCATCTGTGTAACATTTATCTTAACATACATACATAGTTCATATATATATATATATATATATATATATATATATATATATATATATATATATATACACATATGCACATTTCATTGAATACGACAGAAGATAAATTATATAAAAAACTGTTCAATTGTTTTTTTTTTTATCCGAGCGCTTTCGGCTATACATCTAGCCATTTTCAAGGTTGAAATATATTAACTATTAATAAGAAATAGTTTGTTGCATGTATGCGTTTATATAATGTTTTCAGTTTCAAAACACGGTCAAGATATTGCGTCCATATTCATAGTTGATTTTCTTGGGTGTTGTTTTTTTTCTGTTTTTATTATATATATTATATTTTCTTATATATGTTGACCGCTCGAAT